TCCTTGTTCCTCTGGGTTTTTTGATCTTTTTGAGTTCTTTGCAGATATTGATGAGTGCTCCCAAGATCCATCACCCTGTGGTCCCGATTCTGTCTGCACCAACGCCCCAGGCTCCTACAGCTGTAGCTGCGTTGTGGGCTTCCGTCCCAATCCAGAAGGCTCCTGGAAACATGGCAACTTCAGCTGCGAAAGTAATCCTCTCCTTATGTGTCTTGGCAATGGAATCTGTGTCTTGCTTTGGTTGTAAAATCCTCACTCTACCCAAACCCTGGATCCTCTTCTTACTTTCATTCATTCTCCCTTTTTATATTCTTTCACTAATACATTAATTTGATAAATTATTTTTGAAGCATTAATTAATTAACTAATTAATCAAACAGGCCCCTGCACTAGGTACTGGGGATTCAATCCTGGATGTGACGGACATGATATTTGCCCTCATGTAGCTTATAGTCTAGGGAAGGAAGTAGAGAGCACACACATAATTATTTAATAATTGAAAAATTGTCATGCCCTTTGGCATATTATATACCCCATTCATGAGATATATAATATGCTCCAGGCAAGTGACATTTAAGCTGAAGCTTGAAGGAAGAGTAGGGATTATGCAGATGAAGAGTGGAGATCATAGCGTGACAGGTTATAACATGTGCAAATGCCCTGAGGCTAACAAAGACTGAGGACAAAGGGAAATGGCATTAGCTGCATCTGAGCAGGTGGGCAGAGGTCAGATTCTGCAGGAGCTTGTGTGCTGTGTGAAGAACTTTAGTCTTTCTGCTGAGAACAGTGGGGAACCGTGAAAGGTTTACGTTTTTAAAATTATGGATTATTTGATACATTAAAAATATAAGTAATTTATATGGAGGCAATGAAGTATAATAATAAAATGGATATATCCAAGGCCCTTGCCAACATAAGAACCAGAATATCATCAATGCCATTGCATTTTCTGCACGCTTCTTCTCCACTCCGTATATCCTTGTCTTCTCGCCACAGGGAACCACTCAGAATTTTGTGTTTATAATTCCCCTACTTAAAAAAAAACCCTGCCATTTATGTATCCCTAAACAATATCTTGCTTAGTTTTGTTTGCTTGGAGCTTTATAAAAATGGTATCAAACCACATACGATCTTTTTTTATTGAGATATAATTGACATATAACATTCTATTAGTTTCAGGAGTACAACATAATGATTGATGTTTGGATATACTGCAAAATAATCACAATAAGTCTAGTTAACATTCGTCACCCTACATAGTTACAAAATTTCTTTTTCTTGTGATGAGAGCTTTTAAGATCTACTCTCTTAGCAACTTTCAAATATGCAATACAGTATTATTCACTATTGTCCCCATGCTGTACATTACATCCTCAGGACTTATTTATTTTATAACTGGAAGTTTGTTCCTCCTGATGACCTTCATCCATTTTGCCCACCCTCCACCCCCACCTCTGGCAACCACCAATCTGTTCTCTTATCTATGAGCTTGGCTTTTTTTTTTAATAGTCCAGATATAAGTGAGATCATATGGCATTTTCCAGAGTGGCTCTTTTTCACTCAATATCACACTTCCCAGAGCCCCTGATGTTGTGGCGTGTAGCATAGCTTGTTCATTTCCACTGTCGTGTAACATGGCAATGGATGCGTTTACAGCACGGGGTATGACTGTGCAAATAATCACATCTTGCTGTGGTTGACATTTGATCGGCTTGCTTTTGTTTTCGTCCTAGTGGTTCCCTTCAAGTGTAAAGAAGATGTGTTACCCAACAATGAGCAGGTCCGGCTATGCCAAGAGGGAGCAGCGGTGGAGCCTGAATATGTAAGTACTTTTGAAGGTTCCTAGCTCTTGAAGTTGTCCTAGAAGCCACTTAGGTAGGATGTTGCTTTGCAGTTTTAACGAAGACAAAAATATACAGTGGCCTAAACCAGACAGCAGTTTATTTCTCTCTTTGTAACAGTCTGAGTGTAAGCTGCTGAGAGCTGATGTGATGGCTCCATAGTGCTCTGTCATCATGAACACAAGACTCCCTTGTTGTGGTCCAGTGTGGCTGCTCCAGCCCCTGCCATCACGTCTGCATTTCAGCTGGTGGGCAAGGGAGAAGGGGAGGTGACAGGCACTGTCCTTCCCTTCAAGAGTATGACCCAGTATCACTTCTGCTTATACCTCATTGGCCAGAAATTAGTCACGTGGTCACACCTAGCTACAAGGAAAGCTGGGAAGGGAGGACATTTGCTCATCTAAAACTTGGGAATTCTCTTACTAAAAGAAGAAAGGATGTTGGCGTCTCATTACTAGTGAAGCTGTTGGTGCTGCATCTGTGTGATATGGGATGCATGTGTGATACATAGCCCCTAGGCCAGTCAAAGAGGAATCTGGACATCTGATTCTCTAATGGAGTCACTCCCGTGAGTAAAGGCTCCATGAGCATCTTCAGGAATTGGTGTCACTATTTTAAATATGAGCTTATAAATTAGCTTTGGAATTGCCATGCACTTTGGACCATTGTCATGTTTTTTTTTCATTGTGGTGAAATACGCCTAAAAAATTCACCATTGTAAAGTATACAATTCAGTGGCATTTAGTACTCACAATGATGTGTAACCACCACCTCTATCTATCTCCAAAACATTTTCATCACCCCCAAAGGAAACCCTGTACCCATTAGCAGTCACTGCCCATTCCCCCCTACCCCAACCCCTGGTAAACACTCATCTACTTTCTGTGTCCACAGATGTGTCTATTCTGGACATTTCATATAAATGGAATCATATGCTATGTGGTCTTTTGTGTCTGGCTCCTTTCACTGAGCAACATGTTTTCAAGGTTCATCCATGTTGCAGCATGTGTCAATGCTTCATTCCTTTTTATGGCTGAGTACTATTCCATTTGGACCACTGCTTTTTCACACATTTCCCCATCTTTGTACCCCACTAAATAGTTTTGCTGTCTATGTTTCTTTTGTTGTTGTTGTTATTCATGGAAGAGAAAGGTGCTGTGGTTCCAATTCTGATCAAATGGTGAGTTTTTATTTCCCCGAGAATTCGAGAGACTCATGAGACCTCAGGAATTTGGGACCACCCTGTATGGTGGGCTTGATGGCCCAATTTGTACCTTACATGCTTGGGGGATAGACTGATCAATGCTCACGAATGCTGTTCCCTTTGGGGCACAGGTTTCCTTTTGTGCACTAATGAACACCACCTTCAGCATCCTGGACGATGCCTGTGAGAACAAATCCACCGTCGTTTCTCTGAAGGTAACAAGGAAGTCTTTGTAATTGTGTTTCGAGTTTCGAGCATCTTGGGGGACACTTTGGGAGCAGAAAGTCCTCTTTATAATTAAAGACTGTGAGTTAATATTTAATTTATTACAGTTGTAAGTTTTTAAAAGTTAACACGCAGTAAAATTGCCCTTTTCTTTACAATCCTGTGAGTTTTATCACCTGAGTAGATTTGTGTAACCACCACCACAATCAGAATACAGAACCGTTCCATCTCCCCCAAGAACTCTCTTGGGTTTTCTCTTTACAATCAGATACTCCCTCCACCACTAGCCCCTGTAAATCCCTGATCTGTTCTGTCATTATAGCTTTGTCTTTCCAAGAATGTGATATAAATGGAATCACATGGCCTTTTGAGTCTGGCTTCTTTCACTCAGCGTAATGCCTTCGAGATTCATCAATGTTGTGTTTATCAATAGTCCCATTCCTTTTTTTCTGGTAACCATTAATGATATTTAGTACATTTACAGTGTTGTCTAACCATCACCACTATCTAGTTCCAGAACATTTTCATCACCCCAAAAGGAAATTCCCTACCCGTTAAGCAGCCACACCTCATCCTTCCCTTGACTGCAACCCATTCTCTTGATGAGAGAGGACAGCTGCTAGTTCATTGATGAGAGAGAGAGAGCAAATACACCTTTCTTTGCAGAATACGGCTGAGAGTGTTACCTCTGTGCTTGAGCAAAAGTCCACATGGTCCAACTTCACCAAAGAAAAAACGTCCACCCTGGCCATAGTCTTACTGGAGACCGTGGAGAGCACCACGTTGGCAGCGTTCCTGAAATCCTCAGAGAATGTCAGTCAGTCTATTCAGACGGAACACCTAGGTAGGCTATATCCTCCATGGCAAGCTCACACCTGGGCGCTGATTTTGAGGGGTGACTTCAGCAATGTGATTCTCCATGTCTTTTCCATATACCGTTTCCCTGACTGTTTCTAACATCTGAACTCACACAAAGCAAGCCTATTATAGTAATGACATCTCTCATTTATTGAGCATCAGGCATTGTGTTAAGAGTTTGTGGCCAGGCACTGTTTGGAGGGCATCGTTAATTCATTCAACAAATATTCGTTGACTGCCTACTGTGTGCCAGGTGTTAAGATATGATAGTCGTTTGCTGTGTTCAAATATTTCGAGCTCTTTCTTCTGGGCCCACGTTAGGATTGTACTTCCTGGCTTGGGGTTAGGTGGGATTTTGTGATGAGTTTAAGCCAGTGAATTGTGAATGGAATAGTTGCTGGTGTGAGACCTTCCAGAGCCTTCTTTCCCTCTATTTTAGGGACAGGCAGTGTTTCAGATCACAATGTCTCCATCTGTGTGGGTCCCAGGGCAAGGAGAACACAGAGCACAGCCCCAAGTCAATTCACGATGGACACAAAGCATGAATGAGAAATGAATAATTATTTATAATCCACTAAGATTTGGGGTTGTGTGTTACTGTTGCATGCCCAATCCTGTCCTGACTGATACAGCTATGGATTTACCACCCTGAACGTGCTTAGTGGGTGACTGTGTGGGAATTTCGGGTACTGTACGCCTTAAGGGCAGCACCCCACTCCTGGTGTAGCTCCAGTATCAGTCACATAATCCCAGGTAGTTCCATCCTCATGGGTGCCCAGGAGGCCAAGAGGTGGAAATAGAGTGTTTGGTGAACTTCCACCAGAATTGAACAAAACTAGCCTCGTGAATTTTTTATTTTAGTGATAGACCTATGGCATACCAGATAGAGCTAGTGCTACTGAGAAAAATACAGCAGGCTAAGGAGGCTCAAGAGGGTCAAGATTAGTGGGAACGTTGCTATTGTATATAGTGCGGTTAGGGGAAGTCTCACTGGGGCAGAGACCTGAGGGAAGGGAGCCGTGTAAATATTGGGAGACAGAGCAAGTGTGTTCCTTGGAACACTTGGTGAGTTCAAGGAACAATGAGCAGGCCGGTGAAAGCTGCAGCAGAAGGGGTCAGAACAGAAAGGGAGTGCAGATTTTGTAGACGAAGGTAGGGACTCAGGATTTTATTTGAGGCAAGATAGGGGGGTGGGATTGGAGAGTTTGAGAAAATGCATGGCATTATCTGGCTGATATTTTTCAAGGGTACCTCTGGTAGAATTATCTATTTTGTTTTCAATAAGAGTCCTTTAATCATTGTCATGCTGCAGGTGAGAAATTTGAGGCTCAGAGAGGTTAAGTCGTTGCTCAAATTTGCACAGCTGGTGAGTGGCAGGGCTGGACTCCATCTGACTGCAGAGCCCAAGCCCTCATCCACCATACTGGCTTGCCCTGGTCCCTTCCTAATTCCTTTGGCTTTGGAAAACTTGCCTAAATTTGGAGTAGCCAGAGTCACAACTCTGTTGCCTTCCATCACTGTCGACTTCAATCCCATCTTTTCCTCATGCATCCCCTATGATGCGAGGGCTCACGCCTATGGCTCCACCTGAGTTTCTCATATGTTTGGTGCTACCATCCTCCTACCAATCATCAGGGGCTCAAGAGGTTTCCCATGATGAATTGGCCTTTCTGTTCTCTCCTTTGCTTGTGACTATGGATGCATACCCTTCTTGGACAGAAACCGAATTCAGGACCCACTCTTTGGGTGACCTCATGCAAACTCTCCCTTTCTCCTTCTAGATATTAAGACCCAGGTTATCAACAAAGAATGCGCTGAGAACACCATCTTTAACTTGAAAGCCAAAGGGGATGAGATGAAGATTATGTGCTCCACAATTGAGGAATCTGAATCCACAGGTACAGACCCGCTCCTGAGAAGCAAGGAGGCTGGTTGTGGTATATTCAATCAGCAAATATTTATCCATCACCACCTGGGTGCCAAGTCCTGTGCCAGCTGGTGAGGGAATCTCTGATGGCAGAGGCAGAAATAGCTTATGCCCTCGGGGAGTTTTCCATCTGCTAGGGAAGGCAGACATTAAATAAATAATCTCACAATACTGGAGTACTGAAACCTTCCCTGTCCAGTACAGCAGCCACTGGCCACAGTTTATTATTGAGCGCTTGAAATGTGGCTAGATTGTGAGCATGGAATACATACCAAATTTCAAAGGCTTGGTACAAAAAACAGAGGATGTAAAACATCTGCATTAATAATTTTTTCTAGGGGCTGGCCTGGTGGCACAAGAGGTTAAGTGCACATGCTCCGCTGCGGCGGCCCAGGGTTTGCCGGTTTGGATCCCGGGCGCGCACTGACGCACTGCTTGGGAAGCCATGCTGTGGCGGCATCCCATATCAAGTGGAGGAAGATGGGCACGGATATTAGCCCAGGGCCAGTCTTCCCCAGCAACAAAAGAGGAGGATTGGCAGATGTTAGCACAGGGCTGATCTTCCTCACACACAAAAATATGATAATAATTTTTTCTATTGATCATGGGTTGAAATGATAATATTTTGCATGTATTGAGTTAATATATTATTAAAATGAATTTTACCTGTTTTCTACTGTTCTAAAATGTGGCTACTAGAAAATTTAAAATTGCATATGTGGCTCATACCATGTTTCTAGCAGACGGCACTAATCTGTATCAAGGGTTGGCAAACTTTTCCTGTAGAGGGCAGGTTAGTAAATATTTTAGGCATTGAGGGCAATACAATTTGTGTTGCAACCATTCGACTCTACTGTTGTGCAAAAGCATTCATAGGCAATATGTAAATGAACGGGTGTGGCTGCGTTGCAATAGAACTTTTATTTACAAAACACAGGCAATGGCCAGATAAGCCTGTACATTGTCCATCACCCCTGATCTACATGCTCTCTGGAGGGCACAGACCTAGGACACATCCTGGGAGACCCCCAACGTTGAAAGGGGAAGCCCACCAAAGAGATTAAACAAGAATGACCACAAATGTGGGAGGGGAACTTATCTTCCACTGCTGAGTTGAATCGTCCTTTAAAAACACAAATTCAAATTTGTTTTTAAGTATAGCCAAGATTTCTCCAGGTGATAGCACCTCAGGATTTTTTTCTATGGTTCTATGAGGGTCACCAACCAGAAGCCCACCCATGTTTTAATCCTCAGAGCAGGCCAGTGAAGGTGCAGGGATGCAGGGGATATTACAGTGCATATACCAAGAACTACTGAGCAAATGATTCCCATTTTTTTTTTTTTTTTTTTGCGTTTGGGGCAAATGGCAGGGACCACTGGGGTGGCATTTGTCTCCTTTGTGGGTATGGAGTCTGTTTTGGATGAGAGCTTCTTCCAAGACCCTCGGACCTTCTTGGGCAACTCCAAGAGGAAGCTGAAGATGAATTCTCGCATCGCTGGGGGCATCATGACCGGGAAGAAGAAAGAAGGCTTCTCTGACCCAATCATCTATACTCTGGAGAACATCGAGGTTTGTGAAGAGGTCTCCACTGAGCCCCCATCTACCTGTCGAGAACTCCCCATCCCCTAGTGGGCTTAACTCTTATTTTTGTTTATTGAGGTAACGTTGGTTTATAATATTATATAAATTTCAGGTGTACATCATTATATTTCGATTTCTGTGTAGACTACGTCATGTTCACCACCCAAAGACTAATTACTGTCCATCACCACACACAGGTACCCTGTCACCCCTTCTGCCCTCCTCCCTCCCCCTTTCCCCTCTGGTAACCACTAGTCTAATCTCTGTATCTATGTGTTTGTTTATTGTTGTTGTTGTTGTTGTCTTTATCTTCTATTTACAACCAAGATCATACAGTATTTGACTTTCTCTGTCCGACTTATTTCTCTTAGCATAACACCCTCAAGGTCCATCCATGTTGTTGCAAATGGCAAGATTTCATCTTTTTTATGGCTGAGTAGTATTCCATTGTGTATATAAACCACATCTTCTTTATCCATTTGTCCATTGAAGGGCACTAGGTTGTTTCTAAGTCTTGGCTATTATTAATAATGCTGCAATGAACATAGGGGTGCAAATATCTTCACACATTTGTGTTTTCACGTACTTTGGATAAATACCTGGCAGTGGATTAGCTTAACTCTCATTTTTAATGGGGACCCATTAAGGTGGCAAGCTTCCACAATTTCTAGCAACTTAAGCCAATCCTCAAAACCCACCTCTAGAGGAGTAAACTTTCCTATTTCTATGTGGCGTTCTTCCATTCATCAGCAGGCAAGATTTAGGTTAGGTTAAGTAACACGGATGCAGGAATATTTACAGAGACTTTAGTTACATTAGCTGTGACCAAGTCAGTGGGAGAGACAGATCTGACATCCAAGACATTTCTTCTCATGACTGCACAATGAAATGGCAGCGTTTTCCTCTATCCCTTATGAGCATACCTGCATCTTCCTGCCCCAGATGACTTCAGGTTGCCCACATTGCATTCATTCAAGAAGGATTCTCAGGTGACCAGGGCCTTTGATTTTTTTCAGCCAAAGCAGAAGTTTGAGAGCCCCATCTGCGTTTCCTGGAGCACAGATGCTGAGGGTGGTAGGTGGACGCCATCTGGCTGTGTGATGCTTGAAGCTTCTGAGACGCATACTGTCTGCAGCTGTAATCGAATGGCGAACCTGGCCATCATCATGGCTTCTGGGGAGCTCACGGTGAGTACTGATGCTCTGTGTTCTTGCTCCCAAAATCCAATGGGAAAATATTGACTAAACATGCATGGTGTGCCTCTCATGGCATTGTGTGTTGTGGGAGGAGTCACGGGGGCACAGAAGGGGTGTGTGCCATACCTCTGCCCTTGGAGAATTCATGGTCTTGTTGGGAAGCCATGACCCTCATATGTCAGATGAGGAATAACCCTAAACAGGTGCAGGCACAGTAAAAATCACAGATCCCATTTACTGAGCACTTATCTTGTTCTGGACCCTTTATTTTAAGTGTTTTTAGACCCACTGCACAGGATAAGAGACTGAGGCTCAGTAGCCTTCTAGTAATTGGAAGGTGGGATTCTATTCCAGGACAGTCTGGCTCCAGAAGTCTCTTTCCACTGAACCATACAAATGGTGCAAGAGGTTGTGCTGTAGGAATTCAGAAGTGTTTCAGTGAGATTTGGTGACAGATCAGGGAAGAAATGAAGAACAAAGTGAGCCTTGGTGAGCAGGCGGATTTGGGAGAGAGGAAAGACATCCTCATTAGTGCTGTGGTGAGTTTCCTTACCTCTCATGCAAGATCTGAGGTTAATTCTCTGCCAGGGAGGCCCTAGCTGCTAGTTAGAGGAATATGTGGCTTGGGACTTAAGAGACCTGGATCCAGAGCAAGACCGGCCGAGTTTCAAGCCCATCTCTGTCACTTCCTAGCTGCGTTTCCTTGGGAAAACCACTCAGCCTCTCTGAGCTGAGCCCAATTTTCTCATCTCAAAAATGAGAACAAGAAAAAAATAATGATGACAACTAACCCTTACAGGGTACATAATATGTTCCTGGCACAGTTGTGAGTACTTTAAGTATTTTCACTGAATCCTCCTAAAAAAACTGGATAAGGTAGTTACTATTAGTGGCCTCTTTTTAACAGATGAGGAAACTGAGGCACAGAGCAGTGAAGTGTCTTGCTCAAGCTCATACAGCTAGAAACGGGCAGAACTGTAGTCAGTTCTCTTAAACACTAAGTCACGCTAACATGGAGATGAGCTCATGAGATGGTGCCTGGCATATCTTTAACACACAGAAAGCATGCAAATAAATTTAAAATTAATTTAAAAATTAGTTATGAATAGGGCTGGCCCGGTGGCTTAGCGGTTAAGTGCGCACGCTCCGCTGCTGGTGGCCCGGGTTCGGATCCCAGGCATGCGCTGACGCACTGCTTCTCCGGCCATGCTGAGGCCGCGTCCCACATACAGCAACTAGAAGGATGTGCAACTATGACACACAACTATCTACTGGGGCTTTGGGGGAAAAAATAAACAAATAAAATTCTAAAAAAAAGAAAACAATTAAAAAAATTAGTTATGAATAACAGCACAGGGGAAGGACTCAGCTTGTCATTTCCACTCCCAGAAGGTGAGGCATCTCTGAATGCCTATGTATCAGTCCTGGTTTGGTGCAGGAAAAACAGGAACCACTCTAGGTATTTCAAGCAGAAAAGGATTTAACACGGGGAACTGGGTGCTCACCAAATCTGTGGAAGGGACGACGGAGTTGAAGTCAGGGGCTGCTGCTTGGATTTTGGTTTCAAGATCACCCCTCTGCAGCTGTAATCCAGAGGTCAGAAGTTGCTTCTGTCAGGTCACCCCACATCCATGAAATTAAAGACTGGACAGTTGGAATGTGGAGTCCAGCCACAGCTCACTCTTGTCTGCAGAAAGCCGGTATCTGCCTCCATTCTGCCTTGTAAAACTTTCATGCAGGCATCTCGTTGGAGAACCTAACTGACATCCAGGACCTTAGCCCCAAAGGATTCTGGGAAATGTAGTTTGTAGACATGATGGGATGGGGTGTAGGATAGGGGTGGGAATGGGTGCTGATGGATGGCAACAGATGCCAAAGGATGATGATGGACAGTATCTACTTCACTCTGAGTGTCAGAGGGAGAAAAGGTCCTCAAGACCTTTTTGCCCAAGCCAGGAGTCTGGATAATTCTTTCTCCTGCCCAGGGCATGCTGGTCCCTCTCTGAGTGGTGTATCTCTTTCCTGACAGATGGAGTTCTCTTTGTACATCATTAGCCACGTGGGCATGATCATCTCACTGGTGTGTCTCGTCTTGGCCATCGCCACCTTCCTGCTGTGCCGTAGCATTCGCAACCACAACACCTACCTCCACCTGCACCTCTGCGTGTGCCTCTTCTTGGCCAAGATTCTCTTCCTCACCGGTGTAGACAAGACCGACAACCAGGTCTCACATCCTTCAGGCTATGCCCCCATCCAGCCCCATCATCTCCACATCTATCTCTGCTCATCCCTACCCGCTCCCTCTATGCCAGTTCCCACCTCAGGACCTTTGCACATGCTGTGCCCTCTTTCAACAATACTCATCCCCCACCTCCTCCCCTGGTTGACTCCTTCTTGTCATAGAAAGGTCTCAGTTTAAAATAATTTCCCTGATCATGTTATATATTGTGGTGGTCCCTCCTATTACTCGTTAAACCATTGGTTCTCATCTGGGATGATTCTGCCCCCTAGGGGACACTTGGTGATGTCTGGAGATGTCATTGGTTGGTTGTCACCACTGGGAGGAAGCGCTACTGCCATCTAGTGGGTGGAGGCCAGGGATGCTGCTAAACATCTTAGAATACACAAGACAGTCCCCACAACAGAAAATAATCTGGCAGCAGTGTTTCAAATGTCAATAATGCTACAGCTGAGAAACTGCTCCTTGTAACTCTATTTTGCGTTCTTTCCCAGCACTCGTTTGAAACCATATTGATTAGTTATTGTTTTACTTGTGTATCTACCTCCTCCCCTACACTATGTGCCCCGTGAGAGCAATGACTTTGGCCAATTTACCCCCTATAACTGTGCCAGAAATAGTAGGCCCCCAGGTCTTTCCAAAAGGAGCACTATTGACATTTTGGGTGGGATGATCATTCTTTGTGTGGGCCTGCCCCTCTCGCTATGGAATGCTTAGTTTCCCCAATCCCTTGAGAACTCAAGACCCATAGTGCCCCGCTCCCATCGTTTGACCAGGGGTGGGCAAACTCTTTCCGTAAAGAGACAGATATAAATATTTTCGGCTTTGCGGATGCTACAGTCTCTGTCATGACTGCTCAACTCTGCTGTTTTAGCATGAAAACAGCCATAGAGAATACATAAATGGGTGTGGCTGTGTGCCAGTGAAACGTTATTTACAAAACGGGCAGCCAGCCCAACGGCTGTAGTTTGGGGGCCCCCCGTCCCCATCCCATGTCTTCAGACATCTCCTCAAGTAGGGGGATCATCCATCAGTTTTTCCCCCAAACTCTCCCAGTTGTAGCATTGACAGTCACGTGTCCTGGGAAACCTCAGTCCCGGGCAAACCAGGGCGATTGGTCACCCTACCAGAGGGATGGAGAAGAACGGTGAATGCGGTGAAGAACATCTCTATAAATACTTGTGGAATGAACGAATGGGTCGTGTTTGGGAAACGCCAATCAGAGTACTCTCTCCGCTGCCCTCTTCCTCTGAGCCTGCTCCTTGGAGGGGGGTCCTGAGTGCACCCGCTTCTCCTCTGCAGATGGGCTGTGCCATCATCGCGGGCTTTCTGCACTACCTGTTCCTTGCCTGCTTCTTCTGGATGCTGGTGGAGGCCGTGATGCTCTTCCTTATGGTCAGGAACCTGAAGGTGGTGAATTACTTCAGCTCTCGCAACATCAAGATGACATACCTCTGTGTCTTTGGCTACGGGCTCCCGGCGGTAGTGGTGGCTGTCTCCGCCGGCGTGAAACCACAGGGCTATGGGATGTATAATCGGTGAGTGACATCCCTGTCTCTCCCCGAAGACCCTGCTGCTGGGGTTCATGATGATAATTACATGAACAACAAGAAGACCAGTAACAGTAGCAGTAGGTGTGGCTGCTATTTATTGAGCTTTTACTTTATGTGCCTGGTCTCAGGCTGGCGTGGTCTCAGGGCTGCCATGTACAGTTGTACAAGTTGTGCACTTGATTGTACACAACAGTTAACTTGACTGTACAGTTTTAAAATCATGGACTCTAGAGCCAGCCTGCTTGGGTTTGAATCTTGGCTCCACCCCCTTCCGTCTGTGCTACCTCGGGCAAGACGCTTAACCTCCAGATGCTTCCATGTCCTCATCTATAAAATGGAGGCTAACAACAATGCCTACCTCATAGGGTTGCTGTGAGGGTTAAATGAGTTATTATCTGCAAAACATTGAGAACGGCGTCTGGCTCAGGCTAAAGCATTATACATATTATTATTATCACCATCATTATTAGCATTGTCTGTTTTAAAGTGAGGTATATTTATCGCATGGTTCCATGCCAGATGATTTTAGGTAGTATGCTGGTGAGGACTAATTTTTAAAATATTTTTGTATTTATTTGATAGGGCATTAGAAAGAGAAATTTCCAGCATACCAAAATCATGATTTCACAGACATGCTTCCATTGTATAAGTAAGAAAAGTGAGTCAATATTGAGGGGAAAAATTAGGTAAAGGGCAGAACAAGCAGTATGTGGATAGGGCAGAGACTGTAACTCAGTGTAATATTTCATTTAATCCTACAACGGACCTTTGAGATAATGTTGCTATTCTAATTTACAGTTGAGGAAACTGAAGCTCAGAGGGGTGAAAGATTTTTCTCGCCATTATGGTGAGAAAGGGGCAGCATGAGGATGTGAATCTGGGTCTTTGCAATCACAAGACCCCCGCTTGTCACCTCATGCTGTAGGCACTTTGCTGAGTTGTGTTAGGGGATTAAATATCCAGGATTCCTCCCTGCCTGCTGATGGCTTATACGTCAGGTGAGGTCATGAGATAAGGGGTGAAGGGAAGAATTTGTACTAAGTGAGCACCCATCGTAACCTAAATCCTATAAGCTTTACAAACATATATTATCTCTGTTACTTCTCAACAAAATTCCTATGCCTCCACTGTGTACAGCAGTGTCATTCAACTACACTATAGTGTAAATAGTATCCCCCGGATTTGTGCAGTGCACAACCTGTGCTGCTGTATGTGGTGGCCCTAAGACCAAAAGTATATAAAGTAACAGCTTCATAAATAGTAGCTACAGAGGACATTGAGGCTCAGTGCAGTTGTAGAACTTGCCTGGGGTCACATGGCTAGTAAGTGTCCAAGCTGAGTTCAGGTCTGACTGTCCTGTCAGGAGATGGTGGTGACAATGCAAGGCCACCATGAGGAAGAGTCTGATGTTGGCGTGAGTAGTATAAACCCTGACACAGAGCAGAGAAGGACGATGGCATATGGGAACTGGAAAGTTCATGGAAGGCTTCCTGGAGGAGGGAGAATTTGAATGAGCCTTGAAAGCTCTAGTGAAATGTACACAGGCAAAGAGGAAAGGGGGTGGCAATATAGGTGAGGGCAAAAGCTTGCCCAAGGGAGAGCTCGAGGAGTGTTTGGGGGTCCGATGGATTGCACGGGAAGAAGGGGAAATGGGGTGGGGGCATGGAATTTGGAGAATACCTTCTAGGTGGTGGGAACCACAGAAAGTTTTGGAAGAGAGGAGTCGCACTGACAGGGATCTGAGATGATCTTAGGAAGCACTGGAGAATGGGGAAGTGAGACAGGGAAGAGAAGGAGCAAATATGGGGTGCTTTCACGAGCAGGCTCTGCTCTGGGTGGCTGGGCTCAGTCTCAGTGGGTACCTCTGGGAGACCCTGTAGGGCACGCACCACAGTTATCCCGCCCAAGGGGCGAGGGAGCTGCTGTATTTATCCACCAACTCCCTCCCATCAGCCGTCGGTTGAGGGCTGCTCCTGGGAGAACTAATTCTCCAGCACTTTTAGTCTGATGCCCCAGGCAGAGACGCAGATGCTGATAACGGAACTGGCCAGTATTTACTGACGTGGTCGTTCCTGAAAGGAGGTGATCAGCATCTTCTCATGATGCAAACATTTTCCTGCCTTTTATTCACTCTATTACTGGAGACTCACAACATCTGGTTGGCCAAACTTGATTATTTTCCTTCTCTTGAGCGGGGAGGCACACTTCTGCTAAAGGAATATTGGGGTGCTGTTACTGAACATGGTGGAATGGTTATTGGGTGGTGAAAACAGCGAATATCTACTAGAGACACGAAGGAAAGAGGCAATGTATTCCTCCTTCCTTCCTTCCTCCCTCCCTCTCTCCCTTCTTCCCTCTCTCTCCTTCCCTCACTTTCTTCTTTCTTCTTTCTTTTCTTTTAACAAATAATTATGGAATGCCTCATCCATGCCAGGCTTTGCACAGAGTGCTAGGTATTCAGAGATGAACAAAACATTCAAGCTCCAAATTCTCATGTAGCTCATAGTCCAGTAGGGGAAGATGGACAATTCGCAAGCAAACAAACAACTGAACAAGATCATTTATGATACTGAGAGATGCCATAAAAAAAGGCAGCAAGCACTGCTAGAGAGGCACCAGGAGCAGGGATAGTACACTTAGCTGGGGGTAGTCAGGAATGGCTTTTCAGAGTAGGTGACATTTGGGCTGAGATTTGAATGACAAGGTGTGCCATGGGGATTCTGGAAAGAGGGAAAAGGGATTATGGAGGTTATGAATGGAGCATGGGCTCTACCCAGGGCACTAAGTGAACATTTCAGGAACAGTTGCCCAGCAAGAAGGTCTCTAAGAGGATTTGCTGTGGTCCAAAGAAAACTGAAATTCGACCAGCCCCATCAGGAGAATTTTTGTCTCCATCTCATCTCCCAGTAGTCTCCTCCATTAGTGCCTTTGTCGGGGCGTGAATAGCTGTAGGGTCAAGACCCTGAGACAAGCACTGACTCCTCCTGTTTCTCTCCATAGCTGCTGGCTGAATACGGAGACGGGGTTCATCTGGAGTTTCCTGGGGCCAGTTTGCACAATCATAGTGGTAAGCAGATTGCTTGGTGCTGTGTGCTCTGGAGCAGGAGCAAGGAGAGTTGAAAGGTCAGGAAATGCCAGCGGAAGCTGCATAGCTGAGGTCACCTATTCTCCTCAAATGTTCTCTCTTCTGATCCTCGATTCTCGAGATTTCCAAGTTAGAGTGTAATTTCTTTGATTTGGGATTTTTTTTATGCCAACATGCAAATGCTCCCGGGAGAACCCACAGTCTTATCTGCCCTTTGTGCTTCAGTGCGAATGTGTCTGTCAATCTTTTCTGAGTACAGATATTAAATGAGAAAAAAGGTAGAAAGAAATTAAAAACAATTGATGGGGAAGAGAGAGAAGGAAATGATGGGATGGAGGCAAAAGGGAGCCTGGAGGTGTTTTTACAGCTTTATGGAGGTATAACTGACAAATAAAAATTATACATATTTAAGGTGTACAACTTGATGTTTTGACATATGTATACATTGTGAAACGACCACCACAATCAAGCTAATTAATATATCCATCATCTCACATACTTCCATTTTTTTCCTTTCTCTTTTTTTTGTGGTGAGAATGCTTAACCCCTACCCTCTTAGCAAATTTCAAGTGTACAATACAGTTTTGTTAACTATAGTCACCATACTGTACATTAGCTCGCCAGAACTTATTAATTGTGCATAACTGAAACTTAGTAGGCTTTGACCAACGTCTCCCCATTTCCCCCAGCCCCCAGCCACTGGCAATCACTATTCTACCCTCTGAGAATCCTGGGGACGTTCAGCACCATCTCCTTGCCTCCAATCCGGACTCTGCAATCCTACAAGACGTTTCTTCTGCCTCTCATTCATGGTGGCTCATTTCCCTGTGTCATTTGTAATTGCTACTTGTGAGCTCCTATCTGACCGATCTAAATCTTGGGAATTCTTGATGTTGTATTCCTCCAGCGAAGTTTTGCTTTGACTTCCATCAGATTTTTGGGGGGCCATGTATTAGTTTCCTAGGGCTGCGCTGATAGAGTATCACAAACTGGGTAGCTTAGAACAACAGAATTTTATCGTCTTAGGGTTCTGGAGGCTAGAAGTCTGAAATCAAGGGGTCAGCAGGGCCACGCTCCCTCTGACGGCCCCAGGGAAGGATCTGTTCCAGTCTTCTCTCCAACCTCTGGTGGCCTCAGGCATTCCTTGGCTTGTAGATGTCTGTCTTCTCCCTGTGTCTCTTCACATCCTCTTCCCTGTATGCATGTCTGTCTGTGTGTCCAAATTTCCCTGTTTTATAAGGGCACCAGTCATATCGGATTAAGGCCCATCCTAATGGCCTCATTTTAATTTGATGACCTCTGTAAAGACCCTATCTCAAAATAAAGTCACATTCTGAGGTCCTGAGGATTAGGGCTTCAACATATCTTTTTGAGGAGGGGGCACAGTTCAACCCATAACAGGGCACTGGTCTTGATTCTAACTTCCTGGATGCATCCAGTGGAAATAAATGAAGATCACCTAAATAAGAACAAACAAAAGCTATTTATTCGGAGATTGCCATAATAAGAAAGTCAGCCACCATCACTTCCATTCGTCAGAGCCTCAAAGGCAGGCAGAGGAGTGGGAATGCTTTGTAGAGAGAAACAGAAGGCTTCAGATGTGCCCTGAGTGGAGGTTGTTGACATAGTGATGCTATAGCTGGACTAACTCAAAGCAGGCATCCTACGTGATTGGTTAGGGGAGCATATTGGCTTTCTCCTTTTGGTGCTAAGTCAGAAACAGGGGCAGAAGTTAAGGAAGCTGTCAGTTATTGATCAAGTCCTGGTCGTTTAGAATTGATTGCTTCAGTAGTTATTGTTTGGCTTCCTGGAGTGGTTACTGCAGACTGTGGGTCAGAGTTCTCTTTTTATAGATGGTCTGTCCATTGTCCTCGTGTATATCCAATCTTTCAGTCCCTTTTGCTTGACTTTGTAGATCAATTCCATCCTCTTGACTTTGACACTTTGGATCCTGAGGCAGAAGCTTTCCAGCGTCAATGCCCAAGTCTCAACACTCAAAGACACCAGGTGAGTCCCTCCTTCCTATCGTCTCCCCTTCCAATCTCACTTCCTTATTTCCACAATTGTTCATTGAGTACCTTTTGTATACCTGGTCCTGTGCCTAAGACGGACTAGCACAGTATCTGGATCTGGGGGGATAAAACCCCAGCTCTGTCACTTACAAGCTGTGTGACCTTAGGCAAGTTGCATAACCTCTTTGAAACTCTGTTTCCTCATCTGTAGAATATGTGGAGATATTAATATTGCCCACTTTATGTGGCTTATGAAGCATTTAGCACAGTTACTAGGAGAAGTGAGTGTTTCATATATAGAAACTATTAATAAACTTTTTAATCCTTCTCCTGTGTGTACATAGTAGAATAGAATCATACTGTTTTATTTTTATAACCATTTTTTCTCTTAATAACACGTCATAAAATTTTTCTTGTTTGATTAGAAATTTGTCAACTATCCTTTTTTTTTGTATAACTGTTCAACGTAAGGAGCCAGCACAGTTTACTTGAATCATCCCTCATTT